CAAACATGGCGGGGCCGCCGCAGAATCCGCCGCTACCACCTCAGCACCCTTTCTTCTTGTCAGTGGTAGTAGAGTCTAGGGCTTAGGTAGAGAGTGGCATTTATTTCTGTTATGAGGACTGCAACGACGACTGCTGCTTTGCTTCTGGCACTGCCACTGTCTGTTGCTGCTCCTAGGATATCGACGAATGCTCCTACTACTTCTATTATTGCTTCTCTTACTCTACCTTTGCTACTGCTACTGCTACTCAAGATGACGACGACGACAACGACGACGANNACGACGACGACTACTGCTACGACGACGATGCATTTCAACCCGAAGCCCTGACTCCACCTGCAGCCGGGAGTTTCAGGTTTGAGAGGTTTCGGGGTTGATCCTCGACCTCGACCTTCCCGCAATATAACGGAGCCCAAATCTTTATTTTGCTTCTAGTATAATATATCCCGAAGCCCTATTCTAATCCTTGTAAGGCTTAAGGCCCAGCACCAGAAGGCCATAAGGAACTGCGTCAGTCTCGCGAGAGGAACCGGGCAAGTATAGGGTTTCAGGCCTTGGGGTTTAGGATTTAGGATTTAGGGCTCAGGGTTTGGGGTTCAGGATTTAGGGTTGGGGTTTAGGCTTTGGGGTTCAGGGTTTGGGGTTTAGGGGGGGTTACGGTTTCGGGTTTGGGGTTGAGAATCGGTTTGCGGTTTAGGGTTTAGGGTTTGGAGTGTCGTAGAATGGTCGGCACAGTTAGTAGCAGCATCTCCTTCTAGTCCCTGTGTCATGTTAAAGGACCCTCCAAACCCAATGCTTTTTTGAGCAAGTCTTAGGCCTAAGCAACTCTTCCACGAATCCCCAAAGCTCTAAACTTAAACCCTGAATCGCAAATCCTAAATCGTTGAGCCCCTCATCCCTCTGAATCCACAGGGCTCATGAACTCGAGTGCTCCAACCCAAACCTTAGAGTCCAACGTTTCAACCCGCTGACTCGACGGCTTTATACGCCCAAAACCCAAAGAAAGCCTGAAACCCAAACCCCGAACCCTGGGCCCGAACCCTAAACCCTATACTATAGTCTAAACCTTAAACCATAAAGCCACTTAAACCGAAGCCTTAAACCTAGACTTCACCCGGAACCCCTAAACCCTGCACCCCTTAACCGGCAAAGCGATGAAATCCTGCCCCAGGCCGCCGCCTCCCGGGCAGCAGCGGATTGCACCCAAAGCCAAGGCTGACGGCAATCCTGTGGGGGTTCGGGGGTTGAGGGGTTTACTGTAGCGGCCTAGATAATTACCTATACTATTTTGGGGGTTCCTATTCTAATTATTGAGGCCCACTACATCAGGGTGTAGTGGGTAGTCATAGCCTATAGGCTATTTGGGCAGAGTACTGTTTGGGTTTGGGAGCCGGGTCCAGGGCCTGTTGTGCAAGAGTTACGGGGCGGTGTTGCGTAGTCTATCCGCGCTGGCTTATAGTTCAAACGACCAGCGTTTCGGGGATTCATGCTTTGAGACTTGCTGGGGCGTCCGGGATGAGACTGGCAGATTCCTGTTTGCCAAGTCGCCATTTGAGAGTTGAGTGGAGCGTTCGCAGTGGCCACATGAAGCTCGAACCCCTGATCCTGCTTCGTAGATCCCTGATGCCCCAAATCCACCCCCCCCCCCACCTGCAAAGCCCTAGACCCTAAACCCGAACCTCTGAAGCCTCATCCGAGTGGCTTTCTTTCACAGAGGCCGAGGGCCCGCCTCCGCCGCAGCAGATCAGCCAGGGTCTTACAGGACTCGGACGAGGGACGTGGCATCAGGAGAGCACACCATTTCGAGTAAGTACCATTGCTGTTGCTGTTGTGAGCTTATCATGCTCACTTTGATTCTTGATAGTTTAATTGCTTTCACTGTTGTGATCATTATGATCGCCAACTATTCTCGCGATCATTGCTCTTGTGAGTATTCCCCTAACTGCTACTGTTGCGACTGTTATCGTTACTGCCATTCTGTGATGATTTCATGATCATATTTACTATGGGAATGATTCGGAATGATGATTATGATTAAAATCATGCTTATGATGATTAGTATTGTTAGGGAGCTGCGATACTGGGGCCAGCTCAGGGGCTGTGAGGCTGGGAGGAATCTCCTTGCCCCATTTCTGCCTTAAGGAGCTCAGCCCGCCTCCTTTGATTCAGACGTTTTGGGCGTTTTGGGTGTCAGGCACGGAGCGAATAGCCCGGGGGCGCCGATGAACATCTGCTTTGCAAGGAGATTTGTGGTTCAGGGTTTAGGGTTTAGGGTTTAGGGTTTAGGGAACCCTAAACCCGAAACTCTAAACCCTAAACCCTAAACTGGAATGAGGCCAGCCACCGGCGCAGCCGAACTACGCGGGCTGGACGGCACGGCAAGGGAGATGGGCTCTGGGTTTCTGTTGATTTCGGCTGCACGCGACCATGAACTTTAAGCCTTAGCCCCTAAGCTCTAAACTTTAAGCCTTACGCCCTAAGCCTAAACTCTACACTTTAAGCCTCCAGCCCTTAATTAACCTAAACTTTAAGTTGTAACCTTTCGGATCCGAAGAACGCCAAGACAAGACCCAGCGCTGCCGAGCTTCCTGATCTTTACACAGGCATCGCTTCGCCTTGGTAGAGTTGCCTTCATCCTAAGCCCTAATTACTCCCCAGTCGGCCCCTAAACCCTAAACCCTAAACCATAAGCCCTAAACCCTAAACCCTAAACCATAAACCCTAAACCCTAAACCCTAAACCCTAAACCGTAAACCCTAAACCCTAAACTATACAACCAAATCCTTGATGAGCACCCCGAAAGTCTCAACCCTAAACCCTACCTGTAGTCTCCATTGTAGTTCCTTTTTGGGGTTACCTTTTAGGATCCTTAATATACATTTGGTTAAACCCAAAAAAGGAACTACATTGGAGACTATAGGTAAACTAAACCCTAAACCCTAAACCCTAAACCCTAAACCCTAAACCCTAAACCCTAAGCCCAGTGATGGAGGTGGACCAGCTTCTTCAAAGCCCGGGTACGCCCATGGAGGACCCTCCACAGAGTGTCGGGAGCTAAGCTGTCGCCCTCCACGACAAAGGATTTATGCGTCTAATATAGGGGCCTTAACAATTAGAAAAGGGTTTTGGGGCCCATTATACTATATTTTTTTCGGAGCCCCCCAAAATACTATAGGTAATTATTGAGGCCCCTACATTAGGTTTTAAGGCTGCGGATGTGGGGGTGTAGGTTTTGACTGGTGCGAAACCCCACATCCCCATTGTGGCATGGTGTTGTATGTGGCTAATATAGGGGCCTTAGTAATTAGAGTAGGCTTTGGGGGTATATTATACTATACGTATAATAAGGAACCCCCAAAAAACCCTATTCTAAGTGTAAAGGCCCCTACTTTAAACCCTAAACCTTCTCTGGACCTGTTTCAAGATCTGCACTACAACACAAGGGGCAAGCCTGTCAATGTTGAAGGGTTCTAGGGTTTTGGGGTTCGGGCTTTTATTGTAGTCTTGATCACCAGCAGAGTATCCTCGCATCTTTTTGGAGTTTTCTGGCATGGCCCATGTGACTCGCCTTCGCGGCAGCAACCCGGTAAAGTCCATTGTAATGTACTAGAAGACTCAATATCTAACACCGTAGAATGTAACAGAATACAACATAATGGAACACAATGAATACTACACAGAAGAATATAACAACTAATAGAAAAGAGCAGAATAGACTACTAAAGTCAGTCATACTGCAACATATACTTGTTAACCTAGTTATTGGCATACCTTGGCCCCTGTCTTACCAACTCAGGTGAAAGACGTCGTTCACTCGATTTTCAACGGCCTGAGCCAGGCAATGACAATTCTCAGAGTAGCAACCAACTCCCAGTGTTTCGGGAGGGCGCATTTATTGAGCTTGTCTGACTTTGCTCACAGCTTAGCTGAGTGGGGCTGGTTGAAGGTTTGGGGTTTCGTCCACTTTCCATGCATGTGCACCTGAGCCACCACACATTCAGGACAACATCAGCGAGAAGGTGAACCTGCTTCAGCAGAAGGCGGGCTACCAGGATGTGTTTGGCGACTTGTACAAAATTGTCGATGCTGCTAGGCCGACCGAAAGGCATGACTTGTTAAATAAGATCTGAAAGGTACGGAGTTCCACGAAGCTTGGGGTTATGAATATGTACAGATGAAGTTGACGCTCAGAAGCAATCCATTTAGGGTACTTATAACTCTACTGACTCAGTATAACCTACTTACTAAGTCCCCTGGACCTCTAAGTAGTGGCATTTGCAGTTGTCAGAAGCCCAGCAGCGACTGTCGCAGCAGAATCAATTAAGAACACCCTGTCGTCGTGGTCTTAGTCGTCGGTGGTCAGCGTCGTAGAATTAGTCGTCGCCGCCTTAGTCGTGGTAGTAGTTAGCAAGTATCAGTCTTCGTCGTCGTCGTCGTGGCAACAGCAGCAGCAGCAGCAGCAGCAGCAGCAGACGCAGCAGCAGTAGTAGTAGTAGTAGTAGCAGCAGCAGCAGCAGGAGTAGTAGTCTCGTGGTTTCCTCCATTTCCCACCCTCTGACTTCAAGGAAGAGGTCGGTTTGCGCATCCGAGTTGAAGTAGGCAGCGAGCTGTGAGGTCGTGACCGAACACTACCGCTGGCTGTGCTACTACACCGTCAGCCGGCGTGTGACGCGTGAGGCAGGGGAGATCTGGCGAGCTCTTAGGCAGCTCAGTCAGTAAATCGGGAGGTTTGCATCCCTTAGTTCGTTCAGGCGAACTTTCACGAAATCTACATCCAGTTCTTCAGCGAATGCTCTCAGAAGAAGTACCTTTTCCAGCAGGCGCCATATTGATTCCCGGTCCACAAGCCAAGACACTAGAGTCACTAGAGCAGTGGCGGAGATCAGGCTTTCGAGGACCTTAGCATGTGCTTCGCTTGAGGATTTGTCTATGCTGCTCTACATGAAGGCAGCACTTGGCTCAACCAGCTTCACGCAAACCGCCCTTACAAACAGCAAAACATGGCGTCCACGAAGGAGGAGGATGTTCAGATGATGTTGGTCACCTGGCAGAAACCGCCAGGAGAGGCTTGTTAAAAGGACGTCCTGCAGACACGATGTAGCAAGATACCAAAGTATAACATATACCAACTAAGGCCATGTAGATCGATAGATGGATAGGTAGATAGCTAGATAGCTACGTTGCTAGGTAGCAAGATGGCCGATAGCTGATAGATAGGTAGATACAGACAGACGGACGGACGGACAGACAGACAGACAGACAGAGCGACAGAGAGAGCGAGCGGGAGAGAGAGAGAGAGATACAGACAGAGATAAATAGGTGGATAGACGGATAGTCAGATACATAGTTAGTATTGCCGGCGATTTCCACTGTTGCACTCATGCCAGTACTGCTGCTCGAACCTTGCCGTAGCCGTCTCGTTACCAGACTTCTCGTTTGTCTGTTCTAGGTCTACCAGTCGTCGTCTTGGCCATACCACCACCGTCACCAGTACCACGACTACGCCGAAGACCACTACTGTTACTGCGACTGCCGCTGGCCCTCCCTTCTGACCTCCTTGCCGCCACAAGCCCTTTGCTTTGGCAGACCTCCCCAATGTCGCCCATACATGCAGAGACAAGGTGTGCAAGACGCACCTTGGCACCCGCAACGTGGACTTCCGCATGAAGCGCCCCTTGACATCCCTCTGACGGGCTTTGGTTTCTTCGTGTGTGTAGTATGGTTGTCCATGTTCTTCTTACATCATGCTGTGCATTCAGCTTATGGCTTATGAGGCTACAGTATGACTCTGTATGACTTGCACTCTTTGCTGGGATGTGGTCAGCGAGCAGCAGGTCTTGCGAGGAGGTCAGGGTTGCAGAAACATCTCAGGCTACATCTTCCGCCGCACGGTCGAGGGCATCCACATCATCCACCTGGGCATCTCACCTGCAATGCTAATGTCCACATGGTCACATGGCTGGTTGAAGCTTCTTCAAGCACTGGCCGTTGCGATGGTCGAGTGGTCTTTTGTAGGCCCCGTCACGAGGCATGAGACCCGAAGCGAGACGAAGGGAGCCGTTTCGCTGTTGATGCTTGTGAAACCCACGGGTGCGCAGCATGGGTCCAGCAAGGAAAGACGTGGGAGAAGCTGATGGTGGCAGCACGCATGACCCTTGGATGCAAGCTGCATTCTGTGTTGCAGCTCTTTTGAGCGATTGGCGGTGTAACTCATATAATCCTCATTGATATTTACATCATATCCGCTGCTAAACCCCTCCAAACCAGGAAGACTTTCACAAGACTCCCTTGAACTACCATAACCTACTTTTTTGTAGGTCCTGATTATAAGCCCTAATATAGAATTTATGGGGACCCTACAAAATAGTAGGTTTTGGTAGGTTAAGGTCTACACTAAACCCCTCCTCCTCCTCCTCCTCCTCCCTGCCCCGGGCTCCGGCGAGTCTCTGAGCCAGAACTGGCAAGGCGGTTCTGCAGGGTAGTTAGGGTTCAGGCTACAGGATATTACTAGGTGGTTTTTGGGACATTTTTTACTTTCCCTATTGGGGTTTATAAGGGGCCCTTTATATAGATATTTTTCAGAGGGTTTAAGGGCCAACCCAGATTAGGCCCGTTTTGAGGTTTTGATCAAGTTACTGCACTCCTGTGGCATCTGAGGATCGTGGCCATTGAGAACCCCCAGGACATCATCGTCGCTTCTCAGAGACTTTGCTGCACCCGGAGCTGCAGGTCGATTTCTGACCGCACGTTTTGGACCCCTCGAGAATCTAGCGAGCCAGCCAATTCTACACCCGAACTTGCTGGCTCCTCACATTGCCTCGCTGATCTTAGCTCGGCACAAAACCCTAAGCCCTAAACCCTCACTTTCTTGTCGCCGCCCCGGAGTCAGGAAGACGCACTTGAGAAAGCCTAAACCCCAAACCCCTGAACCCTAAACCCGGAAACTCGAAACCAACCCGAAACCCTGAAGGCGTCCCTATGGTTCTCGCGCGGTGCTGAAGTTCTCCCAGTACACTGGTGCCACCTTTCTGCAGCTCATGGAGTCTCCAGACTTTCATACAGTACTTGTAGCGCATTACTTTGTAATGCAAATGGAATGATATATATATATATATATATACATATATATATATACACATGCATATATATATATGTATATAGATACACATCTGTATTATATATATATATATGTGTACACATGTATGTTGACATATACATGTATATATAGATAGACAGATAGATAGATAGATAGATAGATAGATAAATTAGATAGATAGATAGATAGATAGATAGATAGATAAATAGATAGA